ATGCACAGCAGTGTTCACAGCAGCACCGTTCACCACAGCCAAGACATGGAAGCGACCTAAATGTCCATCAACAGAGGAATGGACAGAGAAGATGTGGTACATGCACACAATGGAATACTACTCAGCCATAAGAAAGAATGAAATAATGCCATTTGCAGCAACACGGATGGACCTAGACATGGTCATACTAACTGAAGTAAGTCAGACAGAGAAAGACAAATATCTTATGATGTCCCTTACATGTGGACTCTAAAAAAATGATAAAATGAACTTATTTACAAAACAGAAACAGACTCACAGACTTAGAACACAAGCTTATGGTTACCAAATGGGAAAGGTGGGGGAGGAGGAGGGATAAATTAGGAGGTTGGGATTAACATATACAAACTACTATATATAAAATAGATAATCAACAAGGACCTATGCATGGCACAGGGAACTCTACTCAATACTCTGTAATAACTTATATGGAAAAAGCATCTGAAAAAGAATAGATATATGCATATGTACAATTGAATCACTTTGCTGTAGTATACCTGAAACTAACACAACATTGTAAATCAACTACACTCCAATATAAAATTAAAAAATAAGATAAAAGAAGATTGGTCAAAAGCCAAAGTAATAATAATAATGTGTTTGTAAGGATGTGGAGAAAAGGGAACCCTTGTGCACTGTTGGTGGGAATGTAAACTGCTGCAGCCACTTTATAAAACCGTTCGGAGGGTCCTCAAAAAATGAGAACTATCATATGAACCAGCAATTTCACTACTGGGTATTTATCTGAAGAAAACAAAAACACTAATTTGAAAAGATAAATGCACCTCCACGTTCACTGGAGCACTATTTACAACAGCCAACACATGGAAACCACCTAAATATCCATCAATGGATATGTACAGAGAACCTCTGGTCTACACACACACGCACACATACATACAGGAATATTATCCGGCTATAAAAAAGGATGAAATCTTGCCATTTAAACAACATAGATGGACCTTGATGGCATTATGCTAAGTAAAATAAGTCAGACAGCGAAAGACAAATATCATATGATCTCTCTTATATGTGGAATCTAAAAATAAATTGCTTAAAAAAGTCAAGCTCACAGATACAGATAACAGACTGGTAGTTGCCAGAGGTGGGGGGTGGGTGAAATGGGTGAACTGGTTTTTTTTTTCAGTTTAAATAAACTGAATGAAATAAAAATAGTTAATTCATCATATTAACAAACTGAAAAAGAAACTAAAAAAGAAAAATCTTATGATCATCTCAACAGATGGAGAGATTTGACAAAATCCAACATCCATTTCTGATAAAAAAAATTCTGAGGATATTAGGAATAGAAGGGAACGTCCTCAATTTGATAAAGTACATTTATGAAAAACCTAGGACTAACATAATTAATGTTTTTTCTCCAAGATCAGGAAAAACATAAGAATAGTTGCTCTTGCAACTTTTATTCAATATTTATTAGAGGTTCTAGCCAGTTCAAGAAGGCAAAAAACAAACAAACAAAAGATTAAAAAGAAGATTGGAAAAGAAGTAAAACTGACTTTCATAGACATGATCATACATGTAGAAAATCCTATGGAATCGACAAAAAGTTTCTAGAACTAATAAGTGAGTTTAGCAAGCCTGTAGAATAAAAGATTAATATACAAAAATCAATTATATTTCTAAATACTAGCAACAAACAACTGGAAACTGACATTAAAAATAATCCTATTTATAATATGAAATACTTGAGGTTAAAACTGACAAAAGATATGCAAGATCTGTACACTGAAAACTGTAAGCTATTACTGTGAGGAATTTAAGAATACCTAAATAAATGAATAGATATACCAGGTTCATGGATTAGAGGACTCTACATTTTTAAGATATCAATTCTCCCCAAGTTGATACATAGATTCAATATATCAAATCAAATCCCTGCAGGGAGTATTTTTTTAATTAAAAAAATTTTATTTACTTTATTTATTTTTGGCTGCGTTGGGTCTTCGTTGCTGCGTGTGGGCTTTCTCTAGTTGCGGTGAGCGGAGGCTACTCTTCGTTTTGGTGTGCGGGCTTCTCATTGTTGTGGCTTCTCTTGTTGTGGAGCACAGACTCTAGGCACGCAGGCTTCAGTAGCTGTGGCTCGTGGGCTCAGTAGTTGTGGCTCGTGGGCTCTAGAGCGCAGGCTCAGTAGCTGTGGCACTCGGGCTTAGCTGCTCCATGGTATGTGGGATCTTCCCGGACCAGGGATTGAACCCGTGTCCCCTGTGTTGGCAGGCGGATTCTTAACCGCTGCACCACGAGGGAAGCCCCGCTGCAGGACTTTTTGAATTAGAATATTCAAAGCAATCTTGGAAATGAACAAAGTTGGAGGATTTACACTACCTGATTTCAAGACTTACTATAAAACTATAGGAATCAAAACTGTGTGGTACTTGGCATAAAGGGTTTATCAATTTTTGTTCATTTTCAGAGAAGCAACTTTGAGCTTTAATTTTCTGTACTGTCTGTTTTTTACTTTGTTGATTTCTGCTTTTATCTCTATTACTTCCCTCCTTCTACCTGGGTTTATTGTGTTTTGGGTTTTGGTTTGATTTATTTTTGGCTAGCTTCTTAAAGTGGAACTTTAGATCCCTGATTTGAGACTTTTCTTCTCCAACACTGGCATTTCAAGTTATTAATCTCTTTATAAATATCTTACTTTTACTGACTTCTAATTGAATTAACTCTAGCCAAAGAGTGTAGTTTGTAAAACATCAATTATTTCAAATTTGAGACTTGTATTACACCCCAACCTATTTTATATCTCAGTGAACATATCATGTGCACTTGAAAAGAACATGTATAACGCAGTTATTGTGTGTTGTGCTCTCTAGATATCAATTAGGTCAAGTGGCTGACCACACTGTTCAGATCATCTATTTTGTTAAGATGTTTTAACATTTGCAGAAAAGGGGTGTTAAGTTCTTCCACTGTGATTCTGGAAAGACTTTCTCTGACTCATTCAATTTTTGCTTCCTATCTTTAAAGGTCTGTTATGAGTGAAAACACTTCCGTGTTTGTTACGTCTTCTTGACGAACTGGCTGCTTTGTCACAATGGAACGTCTCTGGCAAGACTCCCTCCTGAAGTCTGCCATTAATACAGGCACTCAGCCTTCTTGGGCGTGTTGTTTGGATTGTGCATCTTCCCCATCCAATTGTTCTCAGCCCATTTGTGGATTTATATTGTACTCTGCAGACAGCACATACTTGGGTCTTGACTTACTTTTATCTGTTCTGACAATTTCTGCCATTTTATGTAATTATAGACTTAGTTGGATTTAGAGCTATTATTTTCTTGGTTTGATAGGTTCCCTGGTTTTATTGTTGTTGTTGTTGCCCTAATCGTCCTTTCCTGTCCTTCTTTTGGATTATTTGTTTTTAAAAATTACATTTTAGTTTATCTCTTGGCTTTTTAGCTAATTTTTGTATCTCATACTCCATCAACCCTGCTATAGATTTAAAAATATCTGTAATGGCAATGGTTTCTGGAGACTAACTGTCAGTGTTTGATTCTCTACTCTGCCACTCGTTTGCTGTGTGACTTTGGGCAAGCTGTTACTTAACCTGTTCGTGCCTTAATTGTTCCATATATAAAACAGAAGTAATAACTTGCAGAGAAATGCATTTGGGGTCATGGTCCTCAGACCCAACTCGTTATTAGCATAAGGTATAAACTCCAGGAGTATGGGCTTTCCAGAAAGCAAAAGACAGATGCAGTTCAAGAACATCTGGGCTCTGATTCTGCTTTCTCTCCTTAGAATAAAGATGAGCACCTGTAGATGCTGAGACTGGTTTAAGGTCAGGAGAAATGATTATCAGTAAATATCCCTTATTCTTTAAATGAAAGCATGTAGATTGTAGTATAGATTCTTTCAAAACAGTAATATAAAACCAGAGTATACAAACTATAGTGGCACAGTCAAAAACAGAGCTTTCCATGTTGGGTGAGGCCCTACCTTGCATGGACTGTGTCGCTGACAGCTACACGCCCACATAGGAATCCAAAGTATTTAAGAACAGGTACACTAAAAACACGCATCTGCTCCTCTCCTGAGGGACTAGCTCAACTCCAAAACAACTCTATCTGTGGCTAATTAGAAATAATAGAAATAATAGAATAAGATATACGGAAATCATCTAATAGTATAATATCAATAATATAATAGAAAAACAAACAGAAATAATCTAATCTCACAACAGCTGTCGATCTGGCCTTTTCCCACCAGTCCACAATCCACCTAGTAACATAACGTTCTCCACCTCAAAGGGTGGTTGTGAGGATTAAATGAATTAATTTATATGAAGAACTAGGGGAAGGGAATGGTACACAGTCACAGCTCAGCATATGGTAACTTATATACCACTGAAGACCAGCAAAGGTGTTAGACATAATCCGAAAACCTGATTGAACACGTTTGTCACCATTTCTTCATCCACCAAATCCTTATGAATAATGCAAAAGTGAAAAAGGATAGGAGACAGTAAAAAGGAATAAAAAGAAGACATCAGAATAGTTCACCAAATCATTATGTTAAAGGAAGAGCATTTCAAACATACTGTCCTCATTGTTACCAAACAAAATTTGAATGTATATATGACCCATCTAGTCACAACTACAGTCCAAGTTTGAATTGGACACTTTCTTTCAAGGTCAGCAACAAAGTGACCCAAGGCAGTCCCATCAACAATTGAGGGCTTATTATTATGTATCAGGTACTATTCTAGGTGCCTTACGTGTGTCAAGAGTTGACCGGCAAAGGACATAACTAAGAAATACAGTCCTAAGTAGGTAACCAACATAAACGTGATGATATTTCCAAAAATACTGTAACTGAATTAAAGAAAAAAGTATTTATAATTTAGATGTCATTGCTAAGTAAATGGCATTAATGACTTGTTTTCTCACGACGGTGTATTTAACGTTGAGTGGATTTTAAAATAGAAGGTACCGTGGTACCTGACTCCAGTGGTGGCATGTGAACAACGGTGCTGCTGTAGCTGCACTGCCTCACGTCCAGGCTCAGAGCCTCCTCGGTCAGGGCCTGTGGAGTTCCTCCTTCAGCATCTGTGGACCGTCCATTAGCTGGCATTTCTGATGTAGGTACGGCTGGGATCTGAGAAACAGCTGGTGATGTAAGAGCAACTGACAATGAAAAGAAAAATTCCCAACTAGAAATTCATTATTAAAGACCCAAACAATTTACACCCACTTATAACTGACAAGTTAAAACCTACTGGCCATAAAGAGGCAATGTGGATTCTTTGTGATTACAATGAAATAATTAAAGTCGAGAAAACAGAGAGGGGTGGCTTTGTAATAACTCTCCTGATCTAACTATGAAAGGCATTCCTGTCACCTTGCAGTGCTTGGCCATCATCTGCTCTGTGGCTCTGTCCGTCTTCTTCCAAGGATGAGGAAGTCGTATTTGTACAGGAGATACGCTTTCTCTTCAAAGCTGGAATGGTGTAGCTCTTCAGGTACCTGCAACAAGGTAATTCGGTTGCGTATTCCTACCTGCTCCCAACTTGGCCATCCTCCACCTTTCTGCTTTTCTCACACCACCTCTGTTTGGGGTATTTCACATTCTTTTTTTTTTTGGCCGCGCTGCGCGCCATGTGGGATCTTAGTTTCCCGAACAGGGATCGAACCCTGTGCCCCTGCAGTGGGAGCGCAGTCTTTACCACTGGACCACCAGGGAAGTCCCTCACTTTCTTCCTGGGTGAAGGCTTCCCTGACCATCCTGGCCTACATCACGGGGTTGTTACATTTCCCTGACTATGGTCTTGAACTGATCGTCAAATCTTAATTTTTATGAGTGTAGGTCTTGTCTTCTCAACTATATTCAAAGAAGGGATGCATCTTCTAATTTTTTGCATCCCCCAAAATGTTCAATTTATTATGAGTTGTTAGTAGTAGATATCCATTGATTTATAGCGAAAAATAAGCAGCTGATATAGGGGCTTCCCTGGTGGCGCAGTGGTTGAGAGTCTGCCTGCTGATGCAGGGGACACGGGTTCGTGCCCCAGTCCGGGAAGAGCTCACATGCCGCGGAGCAGCTGGGCCCGTGAGCCATGGCCGCTGAGCCTGCGCGTCTGGAGCCTGTGCTCCGCAACGGGAGAGGCCACAACAGTGAGAGGCTCGTGTACCGCAAAAAAAAAAAAAAAAAAAAAAAAAATGATATAAAGGCCCCATAGTGACAACATATGCTTCTGGAAAAACTAACATGTTATCAAAACTTGTGTCTCATACCTGATAACGCTATCAATACAGTTTAATTGCTGATAGGATGGGCTATGCTGATACCTTCTCAAATCCTTACAAGACTCGGTGTACATGCTATTATTTTTTAATGTCTGGAAGGAAGAAAAGGCCTTCTGCTCATCTGAAAGAGAATGAAAGGATACACAATTTAAAATATCACATGCAAAAAACAAACAACCCAATCCAAAAATGGGCAGAACTAAATAGACATTTCTCCAAAGAAGATATACAGACTGCCAACAAACACATGAAAGAATGCTCAACATCATTAATCATTAGAGAAATGCAAATCAAAACTACAATGAGATATCATCTCACACCAGTCAAAATGGCCATCATCAAAAAGTCTAGAAACAATAAATGCTGGAGAGGGTGTGGAGAAAAGGGAACACTCTTGCACTGCTGGTGGGAATGTGAATTGGTTCAGCCACTATGGAGAACAGTATGGAGGTTCCTTAAAAAACTAAAAATAGAGCTACCATACGACCCAGCAATCCCACTCCTGGGCATATACCCAGAGAAAACCATAATTCAAAAAGAGTCATGTACCAAAATGTTCATTGCAGCTCTATTTACAATAGCCCGGAGATGGAAACAACCTAAGTGCCCATCATCGGACGAATGGATAAAGAAGATGTGGCACATATATACAATGGAATATTACTCAGCCATAAAAAGAAACGAAATTGAGCTATTTGTAATGAGGTGGATAGACCTAGAGTCTGTCATACAGTGTGAAGTAAGTCAGAAAGAAAAAGACAAATACCGTATGCTAACACATATATATGGAATTTAAGAAAAAAAATGTCATGAAGAACCTAGGGGTAAGACAGGAATAAAGACACAGACCTACTGGAGAACGGACTTGAGGATATGGGGAGGGGGAAGGGTGAGCTGTGACAGGGCGAGAGAGAGGCATGGACAGATATACACTAACAAACGTAAGGTAGATAGCTAGTGGGAAGCAGCCGCATGGCACAGGGATATCGGCTCGGTGCTTTGTGACCGCCTGGAGGGGTGGGATAGGGAGGGTGGGAGGGAGGGAGGCGCAAGAGGGAAGAGATATGGGAACATATGTATATGTATAACTGATTCACTTTGTTATAAAGCAGAAACTAACACACCATTGTAAAGCAATTATACCCCAATAAAGATGTTTAAAAAATAAATAAAATAACACATGCTTGAGAATATGTACTTATTCAGCAAAATTAAATAGTACTTTGGGATCTACATGATACTTTAGGACATATACAATCAATATTATGTAGTTATTAAAAATGAGCTCAGATTTAAATGCACTGATATAGAAAGATATCACCTAGAACAATTACATGAATAATTTCATATGTATCTTTTTAAAAAAGGAGTAAAACAACTGCTTCAGGCAAAGATTACCAAGGAATAAAACCAAAGGTGAAAAGTTGACGGGGACCTTCACAATGTTACTACCCGTACAACTGACTGATCTTGGCCTCACTAAGGGGGATGACAGACATAGTGCATTGCTTATGTGTTGCAACGGAGAGTACACAGCACTGCCTGTGTTGAACTGGTGTCCGACAGAACGTTCTACAATGACAGAATTGTCCTTTATCTGTGCTGTCCAACCTGGTAGCCACTAACACCAGACCCAGCGACTAGCATTTGAAGTGTGGCTACAGCAACTGAGGAACTAAATTTCACATTTTATTTCTTTGTAATTAATTTGAATTTATATTGCAAAATGTGGTTAGTGGCTACCATACCAGATAGCAGAGGTATAGAGAGAGGAAAAAAGACCTCAGTCTGGAGCGCTGAACTTGAACTTTCAGTAGAGAATAAGCCAGAAGGAGACTTATCCAGGAAGAGACAGATCCTGCAAGGTCTGGTGTCATGGAAACCAAGAGGGGAAACTATTTCAAGGAAGAAGAGTAAAGAATTATGCAAATGCTGTTGAGAGACTAAGAAATATTAGCTACTGTTGATACTACTAATAAAGGTTAGTTTAGCTGCTTGGAAGAGGCTTCTCTATTTTCAGAGGGAATTATGGAAAACTGCTTCACTTTCACTCATTAATTTTACTTTTTTTTTTTTCCTTTGCGGCACGCGGGCCTCTCACTGTTGTGGCCTCTCCCGTTGCGGACCACAGGCTCCGGACGCGCAGGCTCAGTGGCCATGGCTCACGGGCCCAGCCGCTCCGCGGCATGTGGGATCTTCCCGGACCCGGGCACGAACCCGTGTCCCCTGCATCGGCAGGCGGACTCTCAACCACTGCGCCACCAGGGAAGCCCTAATTTTACTTTTAATTTTTTAATAATTTTCAACTTGAAGGTTTCAAAGGGTTACAAAAATGGTAGAGAGTTCCCATATACCATTCACCCAGCTTCCACTAATGTCACACCTCACATAACCATAGGAAAATGAATGATACTAGGAAATTAACAGTGGCATACTGAGCTACAGTCCATTTGGATTTCACCTGTTTTCCCACTAAGCGTCGCTTTTCTGGTCCAGAAGTCCAACCAGGGTGTCACAAATGAATTTAGTTGTCAAATGCCTCCTTAGTCTTTCCTTGTCTTTCATGATCCTGACACTTCTGAAGAGTACGGGGCAGGAATTGTTTAGAAATGCCCCTCCATTTGTGTTTCTCTGGTGTTTTCTTATGATTAGGTTGAGGTCATGCATCTTGGGGGAAAATTGCCACAGAAGTGCAGTTCATGGTGGTGATGTTTTATTACTGACACATTAACCTTGATCATTGGTTAAGGTGATGCCTGCCAGGTTTCTCTTATGTAAAGTTACTATTTTACAAGGTAATAAAAGATGTAAGCAATAAATGTTCTGGAGGAATACTTTGAAGCCATGCAAATATCCTGTTTCTTTTATACTTTCACCTATTGTTTGCACAACACTGTGAATATACTTAATGCCACCAAACTGTACATTTAAAAGTAGGAAATTACATACCTAAAACCACAATTTTAAAAAACCTTTCATCTAATTTTAGCACTCACTGGAGGATATGCCCTGCAACAGTTACTACTGTGGAATTCTTTCTTTATTCTCTAAGTCTTATTGGAATATAATTGACATACCGTAGTGAGTTTAAGGCGTACAGCATAATGACTACTGTGGCATTCTAATAGCAATTCCTATTTTTTTTACTCCTACATTAATCAAGCTTTTTCTATTAGGAAGAGTTTCCCTTCTCCCCTTTCCCTTTTATTTATTCATCCAATCATTTATCAGCAGGGACTCCTGGACACTCATTTGCTGTGTTATAATCCAATACTATCATTATTTATTTTGTTGCTCAAATTGTTCCAGTTTTGGCATTACGTGCTCTTTCAAGTTGTCTCCTGTGTCCCTCAGACATGCCATTTTCTCCCTTTTTTCTTGAGCACTTCCTTACTTCTCTGGTTTCTTTTACGGGAAAAACACATAGGAAATAAGACCTGGGTACTGGGTGTGCTCATTGGTAAATGTGTCCCTCCTTGTAGGTCCCCTCAATGGACAAAACAAATATATATCTGTATGTATATCAACCCTTGTCTGTCCATCCGTCCATCCATCCATTAAGCAAAAAGGCATGAGTCCATGCTGATACCTTTAACTCCAATCCAGCACCAGAGTTCACGCTAGCATTCCCTCTGCTCATTTGCTATGTCCCTCTCCAGTGGCGAGGAATCTCATTATCCGCAATGTGTTTGCCTACTTGCTCAGTTCTACTCTGCATGTAAAGTAGCTTCAGAATCGCTAGCCTGCACTATGGTGAGAAATCAGTTTCCTGAATACTGTGTTTGTGTACATTTATGTTTTGGATTTAGTGCTGGGGTGTCCAGCGAAGACACGGATTTGCAAAGCGACTCAGCAACTTTCTTCCCCACCTCCTTCAGGATGTTTATGCCATTAGTTCGTAACTTGGTTAGGGTCACTTGTCACAGCCTATACCTCATCTTGGGTTCCCTCTACATTCTGGGGTGGGGTGAGGCACAACAGATCTATGAGTTTTAACAAATGCACAGCCAGTTGTGATTCCACCACGAGAGTAACAAAAAGAACGTTTCTCTCACTCAAACATTTCCCTCCAGCTGCCTCTTTGCAGTCAACACATCCCGCAAACTTAGCAAATACTGATCTGTTTTCCGGACCTACTGTGTTCCAGAAGTAATGCCTTCCCAGAACAGAACCACACAACATGCAACCTTTTAGCTCTGGCTTCTTTAACTTGGCAAAATGCATTTAAGATCCATCTGCATTGCTGCGTGAATCAAGTTCATTTTTTTTTTTCTTTTCTCTCTCTCTTTTTTTTTTTTTGCGGTACGCGGTCCTCTCACTGTTGTGGCCTCTCCCGTTGCGGAGCACAGGCTCCGGACGCACAGGCTCAACGGCCATGGCTCATGGGCCCAGCTGCTCCTCGGCATGTGGGATCTTCCCGGACCGGAGCACGAACCTGTGTCCCCTGCATCAGCAGGCGGACTCTCAACCACTGAGCCACCAGGGAAGCCCAAGTTCATTTTTCTTCATCGCTGAGTGGTATTCCATTGGGTGGATGTATCACAGTTTATCTACTCACCTGCTGAATGACATGGAAGTTGTTTCCAATTTTGGGTGAGTGTGAATAAAGTGTCATAAACATTTTCAGACAGGATTTTGTGTGAACTTGCTTCTTTTTTTCACTTGGGTAAATAACTAAGAATGGAATTGCTGAGTAATATGGTAAGATTATAAGATATTTAACTTTATAATAAATTACCGCATTTTCCAAAGTGGCTGCACAATTTTACATTACCCTCAGCAACGTGTGACAGCTCCAGTTACTCTGCATTCTTGCCAGAACTTAGTATTGTCAGTTTTCGTTCTTTTAATTTTAGCCATTTTAACGGGTGTGTGATGTGTTTTTAACTTCCTAATGACCAATGAGATTGAGTGTTGTTTCATATGCTATTTGCCATCTATACATCTTCACTGGAAAAGTGTTTAGATCTCTTGACCATTTTAAAATTGGGATGTTTAACTTCTTATTGTTAAATTTTGAGAGTTCTTTATGTATTCTGGATACAGCTCTTTATATATAATTTGCAAATATTTTGTCTTTTCATTGTCTTACCAATGTCTTACCAACGTCTTTCAAAGAAA